TGATTTCTCGCACCCTTAATTTGGTGAACCTCTCGATGTCTCAAACTAAAAGTCATTTCCTGCCGGGAGTTGCTCTAATCGAACACTGTAATCTTACCTCCCCCCTACCCGCCCCTCGCTCGAACTACGTTTTCGTCTCCCTCGGAGATCGAGATTGCACTCTATAATCTCCCAAGGTACAAAAATAGCGTTATAGTTTAAAATCTTTAGCTTCTACTCAAGACTTCTTTGAGGTTTTCTGGAAATTTTAGTCGAAATTTTTTTGTCAACCCTCTGATGTTTACATTTAACTTCTCAGGGAAATTTTATAATCACTCGTGGACAATATTTCGGAATCTTTGGAACTTTTCGGAATTCTTCGGGACTCCGAAAAGTTTATCAGAGACCCTTGACCCCTGCTTCTTTCCAACTGTCTAGAGACAACTAGGCTAACTTTGAAGTGTATCTAGCGTAACAAGCGCGCGTAATTCCCTTTCTCCACTTGTCACGCAGGCTGTTATAGTGTCACATAGCGGCCTTGTGCAGTATCACACCATTTTGAATTATGGATCTTTGATTTCACCTACAGCCTCCTAAGGGATGGACCATTATTTTTTGAGGAGGGGAGGGTTTGGGCAATTATCAAAGATTCCTGTACAACAAAAACTGCTGAAAGAAAAAAAAAAAAAAAAATCATGTATGGGAGGTATTGGAAAAAAATCGAGCAAGTGCTTTCTACTATCCAGCTCCCGTTTTTTGATGTTAAAAAATATTCTTGCACAAGCTATTGCCCACCCAAAAAATTGTGCGCAACTAAAAGGTGAGAAAAAAATTTCATGCCCCAGAAAATTGCCCAACCCCCTCCAAAAAATAATGGTCCATCCCGAAACAGACATTTTTTTGCGTCAAGCAATCATTTCCCTCTTTGTTTGGTTGGGAGGTAAGATTTTTTTTGAAAAAATTATTTGCCAAAAAATGAAGAAAAGAAATGAAACTAAAGAAAAGGTACGGTGCCACTAAAAAAGTTGATTATGTGAGGAAGGATTAGGGGACGAATCACTCCTTGTGTGGGTATGAGGTTTATAACAGTTATGAGCTGAACAGTTCACTGAATGTGAAAAAGGCAATCTCTTCAAAACACACAGGAATCAAATGGAAAGTAACGTTTTGCTATGGGAGGACCAGGAAATGATCACCCCCACTCAGAAAAACGATGACGTCATGGTGGCCTGCCCAAGTGACATGATGTTCCTCCATGAACTGCAACTACTCAATAATGTAACAGAAAATGAAGGAGGTGCTCCAACATGTACAAACGATCTAAATCCTCAGTGGTGTAAGTAACCAGTATTGTAAGTACCGTAAGTAAGTTATGTAATTAGCCGTCTGTGAAAGAAAGATGGAGTGTTTAATTAACCGTTGAAAAGAAAAAAAGAAAGAAAAAAAATTTAAATCCTCCCCTGGCCGAAAAAGACCTGTTTGTCAAAGATCAGCTACATATGCTTAGCGACAAATCTCGACTTGAGACTGGAAATTTTCAACAAGATGTTGGTAAGTACTGTCAGTAAAGACTTGGTAGTGCAGAAAACCCGACGCGTTTCGGTCCAACTCACCGAGAGTAAGTTTTATTTTCTGTATTGTTATTGGTGTTTTTAACAATCATGGGATGAAGCACCCTGACCATCCTTTTCACACTCATTGCGTTATGAGCCGGGGCTAGTACGAGTAGCAACTCCCATTGGCTCCTTTGTTACCAACTTGGCCTTGGTCGGTTGCCAACTTCCGGTTACTTTCAAGACCTCGAAATCGGAGGATTACAGGAACGATAAACATGAGGTACAATTTAGTTTCTAGACGTGCTATCAGTGATGCAGCTTTCTAGTTTAATCACCGTTATTATATCTCTCAGTTAGTACGCGCGCTGTGATTGGTCAATGTAGGGGGCCGTATTCTACTGTACGGCCAGCTAAAATTTAAAGCTGATTTTGTTGGCAAAATGTTTCGCGATTTATCGCCAAGTGTTCTTAACTTTTTTAGCAAGTAAAAGTTTATAACTTTCTTTTACTTCTGAAATTGTGTATTAAAACCTGCTAACGACTTAAGAGTCACTTAACAACGATTTCAAATTGACTCGTTTCACTTTAGAGGTGCTCAGAAATTTGAAGWCATTCCGCTTGAATTAAAATCGTCCCCGAACGCATCAGACACAMCGAGATATAATAAATACCTTACTAACCTCGTTTTCTCGGTCCGTACTGTAAGTTACGGATCCTCGTTTTTCCCCTTCGATTTATGGCCCGCGCGCTTCGCGCTTAGGCCACAAATCGATGGGGAAAAAAAACTCGGTCCGTAACTTTCAGTTCGGCCCTCGAGTTCGGTTAGTAAGAGGTATGTATTTGTTTTCTTATTGTTCTCCATACAAACGTGTCCGTGGATTAAAGTAACTTTCAAAGAAGAGGAGCGGATGGGTAAGTGGACTTTACTTTCAGCTGTTTGTCCTCCATAAACTCGAGAAGAAAATAACATTTTAGAATTATCATCTTCGCTCACTTCTTTTGGTTTTTAGTTACAGAGAGAAGACTCGACGAAGCTTTGAGTGGGAAACACTTTGACCTGATTCAAGAATACGTAACTCCTAAAATTCTAACAAACTGCAAGACCAATGCGCTACTCAAAGCATTTGAGGTAAGATGTGTTTTTTAATCAATGGTTTGGCCAAAGCGCTAATAAGCTCTTACAATCGTCGTAAAAGTTTGGCTTTCTACACCCGCTTTACACAAATAGTGTGAAGAGGGTAAAATCGTTCGAAGCATTTGGTTTATCAGAAACTGAGGCGCTTGCGGCAATTGTTGTGGTAAATGTTTGTGGCGCTCCTTCTCTACCCCAGAGCCTTCGTCTCTTTTGGTTAGCATATTATTAACGAGTAGCACTGGGCAACAGTTTTGGCGGGAACTGCATGCGCGTGCGTCTTGTTGCCGGCCGCCATTAGCGGCCGTCATTTTATTTTGTTTCGAGGTTGAAGTACAGACGTTTCCTGTTGAAATCTCTTCACTCTGTCGACGTGTAAAGACCTTATGTCCACATTGGAGACAAGACACAATAAATACCAGAAGTCTTTTTTTCTGAGTTATTCCTGAAGACGACATCGATCAAGACATGAATTGTTTGAGGGGAGAAAATTCTTCTCTTGATGAGCTTATTTGCAGACCTTTTACAGCCAGAAAATTAGAATGTAAGTCATGCTTACTCGAGTTCACTATTGGCTGAAACTTTAATAGACCATTTTACAGTTCTTTGCTCGGTGACCTGGCCTTTAAATGGCAGCGAGGCTGCAGGCAAGGGAGCAGCAACCAACATTGGGGATCAACATTGTTTACATGTAACTTGGATTTTTATATAAATTACAAGATTTATTTAAGCTCAAAAATTGTTGCATCAGGCCGTTTAAATTTTCCATTGATATGACATAACACTTAAATTAATAAGCTTACTGTTACAACTTCATCAGTTTTTAAAGGTGAGCTATGTGCCTTTGTTTCACCATTATTATTTATGTTATCAAAACTGAGAAAATTAATATGCTATTCAGCTTTGCAAAGAGAGGTCAGATATTGATAACTTGGAGATTATAGTGTTTTAACACATTTAACCCTTAAAAGCCCTGATAGTGCCATATGGCACAAAATGTTATAATAAGCTTAATATTTGGCCAATTCATTTCAAATTTGGACCCTAAAAGGATCTTTGAGAGATCTTCACATTGGAAGGATAAAATCGTACCCCCTCCTGAATCAGACTTGATTAACCACCCCTCAAGTTTTTGAAACTTTTACGCTTTACAATTTTA